GGTAAGGGGTACGGACAGGGTTTGGTTGGGAGGTGGGGGCTGAGAGTGGTCAATATGCATGGTGTACATATACAAAAGAGAAAAATAATAAAATTTTAAAAATTCAGATTGCCAACTTAATTTTTTTTTTTTTTTAAAGGCAGCCTAGGCCCTGCTTCCTGCTCTGCTTCCTGAGCGGCTGGCCCTGTTAGCTTCTCCTGGGTTCACATTTTAGCCCAGGCCTGGAGATGTTTCTGAGCTAACAGAGCTAGCTTTCATGCCCTGGCTCTAGACTGGCCTGGAGTTGGCCCTTGGTCTGGCTAAAGAAGATGCCCCTGTGACATGGGACGTGGAAAGGAGCAGCTAGGGAGAGCCTGCGCCCCCTCCACAAAGACCTCAGCCTGAACAAGCTGGGTGCTCTGACTACCACCTGCTGCTAAGCCTGGGAAGGTGTGCAGGGTTCTGGACCCACGTGAGCCAGGAGGGCCAGCCCTGAGGAGTCCCCTCCACTCATCCCCTCCTTGGATTTGGAGAGGCACAGGCAGGGGTAGTCTGTGGAGTGAGACCTGTGTCCCCTGGGTGTTGGGTCTACAGGCGGCACCTCCAGCCAGACCTCAACTCTGTCTGAACAAAAGCCAACTCCACTGGCTGCCTAAGCACCAGCTCGGTCTAGAGGGTGACGTAGAGCTGTTTAGACCCTACGGGATCTTATTAATGCCCAGTCAGGTCATGCAGGATATGTCAGTGATTAGATTTGCAAGAATTGTGCTCTGGGGATTTTGAAAAGAAGAAATTCAAACCAAATTTAGAGAGCTTCTTGATGAACGGTGAAGAAGCAGTCTGTACCCTCGGTTCTTCCTCCACCCTCCCTCCTGGTGCATTCCTGAGAGCAGATGACTCTGCATCACTCCCTCAGATCCTAATGCCTCAGGGGCTGGCTTTGCAAACTTCAGACTTCAACAGAAGAGCAAAGTCTTCAGGTTTGGGGTTTACCACAAGCCAGCAGCAGTGACGTGGATGAGGCCCTCGGCTACCATGACACCTTGGTGGGTGGATGAGTGTGGAGTATCTCTCCTCCTCCGGCCACCTGGCTGCCGTTCTCTGTCGCTGGCCAGTCTGGCCAGGACTGCTTAGAGAAAGTAATGAAGAAGGAGCCCTCAGGTGAGGTGTGGCCTGAAGTGAGTTTTCATTCTTCTCGGAGCTGCATTATTGATGAGCACACTATAAAATTTTAAACATAATAAATAATGTATTTAGAGCAGTGCCGATGTGTGCATATTTACCAGTTTGAGCGATTTAAATGGTGGACAATGTGAAAATGCTTCTTTTAAATGAATGCTATGTTTAGGTACAGAGAACAAATTCTCACTTTCAAACATTTCTTTTTGCATTGCTATTGTGTTGATTAGTGTCCTTGCTGGGGGGCGGGATATGAAATCATGTTTATTTAATACCTGTATCAGAGTTGTTGCTAGTGTGTGCATGTGCTTACATCTGTGCACATACATACTGGGAGAGAAGGGGGGCTAGGAAAGCCACCCCACAGCTGCACATTCTTAGTCAGGTGGAAAACAGCCCACACCTGTGCCCTAATGGGCTCTGTTACTCAGAAGGGAGAAAGCCAGAGGGGATCCCATGCTCTTGGCTAGAGGATTCATCAATGCCTGACCTGGGGTGACCTCAATCTTTCCCTACGCAGAAGGGGGAACCCACTGGTTCCTGCCTACCTCTGAAGCAGAGGTTCCAGTGTAGATGGGGTGCCCCAGGAACTTCCCTCTACAAGGTGTCCTAATGAACAGCCCTGTCATCTAGGCATAGAGGAGCTCTCGGTAGCAAGAAAGTACTCAAGCCCCAGCTACAGAGTTCAAAGTGCTGCAAGTCATGTGTTGAACTGATGCCTCTGCAGCCGTCTGTCAGAGACTCTGCTACCCATTCCTCAGCTGAGGAGAGGCCATCAACCTGTAACCCATGGGATTGCCAGTCGCCTAAATGAAACAGGTACAGACAGGATCATGGAACCTGCAGCCTAATCACTAACAGCCACTAATCTCAGTGGCTGCCATGGTCATGGTCTCCTGTTCCCAATGCCGTTGGTCACCTAGGAGAAGGCCTCGGCCCTTGGAGAATCAAGTCACCTTCAGTGTGGTGGGAAAGGACACACCTTAGTTTGATTTGACTGCTTGAAAACACCGGCAGTGAGGCATGGCTGATTACAAATGCTGGCCGCTTGGTTAATGGTTGCAAGCCACTGCCCTTAGCAAGGAAGGCGTGCCCGAGCAGAACCATAGGGGTATCTATCACCTAGGCCACCGATGGAGAACTATGACCATGCGGATCCTGCACAGGGCTCAAGGTCAAGGCACCAACGGACCTGAAATTCTTGTGGCTTGGGCCTGTCCCTCCGTTGGTAGAGTGCTTGCTTTCCTGACACACACAAAACCCTGGGCTCCATGCGCAACACAATGTACCAGGTAGAGCAGAGTCCCACGCCTGCAATCCCAGAACTCAGTGGGTGGAAGAAGGGGGATCCTCAGCTACATACTAAGCCAGCCTGGACTAAATGAGAACTTGTCTCCAAATAGATAAATAATGAAAACTAGAATGCTGGATTTCTCGGTGTTGCTGTGGGGTGTGTTTGGGGGTACATGTTTCTGGGAAAGAGGTTTGGAACGTGTCTGGTTTGTGGAATTCTTCATCCTGGAAAGTTAAGGACCACAGTGGAGGAAGATCTTACATTTAATACAATAGGGGACATTTTGAAGACAAAGGAGACTTACATTTTGAAAACGGAGAAAGCTTGCCATAGGGGAGGGTCTCATCATTCTTCCCTAGGGAAGAAGACGTGAACAGTATTTCTTTTAAAATCTGCCTCACGTTATAACCAACTTTTAGGAGAAAACACTCGCAATTTAATGAATTTTAAATAGAAAGGCTTAGCACTTAACCTCGTCCTCATGGGGCATTCCAAGTTCCAGGAACGTTCTGTTTCTTTCTGTCTATTGAGAATCTTCATTTCCTCCGTACCCAGTTTTCAGACTCCCACACATCCCTGTGAAAACTCTTTCGCTGCATTTGGTGCAATGCGTCTGTTGATGACCAATCGAGTCAATCTTAGTCTCCTTGGTATTTGGAATGCATAGTGTTCCACAACGCACAGCCTGGAGGCCCTGAGACATTCACCTCTCCTTGGTGGACATGATTCCTTAGGTATTAGGAGAAGCACTGCTGTCCGCTCAGGGAGATATGTCTGCGTGACAGGTGCAGGGGCCTTACAAAGCTCACAGAGGATAATCAAGCAGTTACCACGTTCCTTCATGAATATAACTGGTTTTCTATCTTTTTTCCAGGAATCAAAAGACTCTAAAGTCTCACAGACTCCTAATCCTTCTGTCTATTGTGAGATTAAAATTCCAGGCTCCTTATAGTATATATAGTACAGTATATAGGCTCTCAATAGCAGCTAATCCTGTCTATTGTAAGATTAAAATTCCAGGCTCCTTATAGTATAGTATATAGGCTCTCCATAGGCTGGCCTGGTGCTCAGAACCAGTCACAGACTCTGCTCTGGGCTTCTCACTGACAGTGGCCCAGATGCACCCCGCACCCCAGGGGGAAACAGCCAGCCTAATACCACAGGGTGTCTGCCATAGGAGTATCCTACCTCCTAGGGGTCCTGGATCTTATGCTCCAGAGCCAGCTCAGGGCTTCCCTGTTCACCTTTCTGCAAGTGCAGTCACAGTCAGCTCAAGCTCTGGTCACCCATACTAGATTCCAGGGCCAGCCCCTGGTGGAACCTGTTGGTCTGCTTACCACCTGGCCCTGGGAAGCCAGGCTTGTTTGTGATTTCAGTAGTAAGTTACACAATAGACCCGGGCTGGCTGTTTGGCATGCCAGATACACCCATCTGGATTCATGCAGGGATCTTCACCCTGATAGCATGGCTTCAAGAAGTATTTGTAGATCTGTTTCTCTAAAATTAGGATGCATAGGGTTGATCCAAAGCATGACATGGTGGGGCACATGCCCGGAGACTGATAGGCATCTGAGTCCCGGGGCTCCCTCTGCCTGTCTGTCAACAGAGGTAGCCCTGCTTGGGTTTCCACCTGCTGCAGTGACCACCAGGCCTTCCTCTTTTCTGGAACACCCATTGTTTGCCAGATTGCTGGCTAGCTTCCATTTGTGCTGACCCCAAAGCCCCAAAGTAGATGTTGTAGATACCCTGCCTGCACTCTGTGGTGCAGTGACCCCAGAACCCAGCAAATGTGCTTCATCATGGCTCTGCCACTGCTTGTCCCGGGCACATGGGGCAAACACCTACCTTTAGCTCTCCTGCCCCATAAGTAAATAATCAGTCTTCCCCTCTAAGCAGTGATTAAGAAAAGCAAGCAAGATCCAAACCCATCTCAAGAATCTACAAAGGACCTGGCCAAGTGGCTGTGGCTGGTGCTCTGGGCTGGGTGCTGGTACCAGTGCCAAGGAAGCCATCCTGCCGTCAATGATTGCACTCGGCTAACCACACCACCTGTTACATCATAGCCACAATCTCAAAGACTATGAATCACAGAACCGGGGCTTAGAGCAGCTCAGAAGCAGCCTCCTGACATAGGCATGTGGCTCAAGACAGGACCTACGTCAGCAGAGCAGGATGGGCATGGGGTCTGCCTTCCTGCTAGCACCCAGAAGCTGCCATGGCAGAAGCCAGGCTGGGAGGCCCCAGGGTGCCTCATGGGCCTGGCTCACACTTTCCACGGGAAGAAATAAGAACACCTCCAGAGCCACCCCAGGTACCACAAACCTCTGGTCACCACGGTCCCAAGTGCCAGCTCCTCAAATTTCTGTTAAATCTTTTAATGATTTTAGTGGGGTTTTTGTTGTTGTTTTTCAACTTTAAAGTAAAACTCAGGTGTGTGTTCAGAAGTCATTTTCTCTTTCAAAAAGGTCAGGATGCTACAAGTATATATATATAATTTTTTTTTTTCGAGACAGGGTTTCTCTGTGTAGCTTTGCACCTTTTCCTGAAACTCACTTGGTAGCCCAAGCTGGCCTCGAACTCACAGAGATCCGCCTGGCTCTGCCTCCCGAGTGCTGGGATTAAAGGTGTGCACCACCACCGCCTGGCTCGATATATTTTTTTTGTTTGGGGGTCAGCCTATGAGGTGTGTTGTACTTTCCACTCACTGGCCATGTGGTTCTGAGCCATATGACTTAATCTTTCTGGGTTTCTTTATTGCTCCTATGAAAAGTGGAGTGAAGTAGAGCCTATCTAGAGAGTTGTTGGGGAAATTATGTTCACTAGTACATGTAATAATCCTTAATACCACAGAAAGTGCATACTATAGAAGCCTTCTTCAAACATTACTTGGTCAGTTCCTTCCCCTTCCTTCCCTTGTGGGGAGGAGTCATGCATACAGACACACTGGACTTGACCAGCATGGGTTAGTCAGAGACTCATGTAAGTAGGATCTGGTTTTTATCTTGGTAATGGTGGCAAGTGTAAAGATGGGCACTAGGGCGAAAGCTCCCTGCTGTCACCTGAAATTCCTCTGGATCTCAAATGGCCAATGTCCCATGAGTCACTGAGAGTACAGAGAACACCTCCATGCTTCCTTCGGCTTTATGTAGAAGAGATCCTGATTTTATAGGGCTGTATCCCCAATTCCTTAAGGGTTCAAGTGGATGGAAGCGGAAGTGAGCCTCGGCGCCCGCCAGCCATCTGCCTCCTTCCGGCTTTGAGGTCTCAGGATGAGCAACACTGTTGGAATCCTGAGTGATGTTACTAGAGATCATAACTCTCAGCACCAGTTCGCCTCATTGCCTCCCAGTCCTCATCCACACAGCTTCATCTGCCTGGGGGTGAAGATGCTTGCCTGTGGCTCAGCTCTACGCACACATAGCCATTTCAGTGACTATCTCCGAGAATGGGAAAGGAAAGGCATCAGTTAAAGCTCCATAATTATTGTCCCCATTACCCATATTGCTTAAAGTCGATGAAATCGCCCATCCACATGGCCTTCTGTAGACAAGATAGCTGTGCTGGGAAGGCACAATGAAGGAGATCACTGGCCTTATGTCAGAACACCAAGATTGCTGTTCCCTGGGGCCAACACAGGGTAGACGTCATAATGGAAGATGCCTGGGTAGACTGACTTTATAGTCAGTGCAGAGATGGCATTTGTTTCCATAGGTCTTGAGTACCCCAGTTCCTCCTAGAGAATCTCTGTCACTCACCTGGCTGCCAAGCCTCCTGATGTAGACGTGGTCTTCTCAGGATCCCCTAAATTATTCATTCATCCAACAGATGTTAGTTGAGTTACTCAGTGCCAAGCGCTGTGATGAGTCACATCGAAGCCTTCCCCCGGAGCGTGGTATCACCGAGGGGAGACAATCAGGTTAATGATGGTTACGTAAGCTGCATGAAACAGACACTGTAGTAAACGTTCAGACATTGCTGGAGGCTGGGCCATAGTTCCCTCGGGTTGAAAGCTTCTGGAGGAGCCAGCATTGGAGAAAGCCTTCAAGGGTCCTCAGCAGAAGAGACACATGACGATGATCCTAATGGTTAGCTAACCTCTAGCTTCCTGCTGAGCTAGACGATACTTGACACTGTTCAAACCCTAGTATGAAGTTGAAAGATGCATGCAGTGAGAGGCCTCACTCCCAAGGACCGCCCCCCCCCAATCTGTGCAACTCCCCCACCTCTTCATCATTGACTCTTGCTCCTCAGTCTGCTTGTCCTTCTATTTCTTCACATAATCGCAAGCAGATGATAATGTATGTTACTACCCCTCCCTTTCTATGTAGTGCTGTGTTCATTTTTTCCCACTGAGTTCCAGAGCTCTTCCCCCGGCAGCTTCTTTATTCGCTGACAGCTTCGTATTCTTCAAGCAGACCTGGAGAGGTTGCGTCTGAGCTGTCCTCCATCTCCTGTGCTCACAAGCTATGCCACTGTGAGCGGCCCTGTGTCCTTGCCGTTCTGCAGGCATACTGACTGATGCACATGTCTGTCTCATTAAATTAAACTGGGGCTGCTGGGCCGACTGTAGTGCACCATACAGCCTTTCCTCCTGAGGAGGTGCGCCGCCTCGTTCATCGGCCAGCAGCCGTGAGAGCTCAGCTGACTGTGGGCTGCTGGAGGAGACTCTGTCACCACTTACTCTGGATTTCCTGCCGCAGAACTGATGGCTTGTGGCGATTTCGCGGTTCCTTTTCAATTCCAAGTACAGTTGCGTCTCCCCATTTCCAGGCCCTTGGAGCTGTTTCCGGGCTAGCCCTGTCCCTGTACCATGTATGAATGAGCTCTTGCTCTGGTTCTGATACCTGTGATTCTGATCTTCTGCTTTGAAGACAGAAAAACATATCAGGGCACAGCCCAAGAAATAAAGACCCTGGAGTGAGGGAGACCTCCCATCTTGAGGTCTACTTATCCCCCGCTTCAGATCAGCTCATCTCAAACCCAACTAGACGGTCACAGTCCTCAGAGGTGCCTGGTAGACAAGCTGTGTACTGCAGCAGCCTGTCAGGCCCCAGTGTCTACTGCTGCCTCCATCCCTCCCTCTACACAACAGGACAGACACTCTTTCTGACCATAGCCAGATTGCCCACCTGATCTCGACGGGATATTCAAATTTGGCTTCTGGAACCTTCCATAGGAAAGTTCACCAGGTCTAGAATTAAGGAAATACCTTGGAGTTAGATCTGAAAAAGACAGGAAAAGAAGGAAGGAGAAAGCTATGGTAAAAGTCACCCACTCTTGCCTCCAGCACTGTTCTGGAAGCTTCTCAGATCACGCTTGCCAAACCCAAATCTGACTGCAGAACAGAAAACCAAACATTTTAGGAAAGGCCTTCCCAGGAGAAGAAAGTGAGGTGATGAACCCAGAACCACATCTCTGCAAACAGTAGGTGCTGGGTGATTATTTTCTAAGTGGATAAATGAATGGGCACAGAGGAAGCTGTGTGGGACGATGCTGGCTATGCAGTCTGAGGACTTTGGACATAGTACCCATGAGCCAAAGTCACCCTAGGGGGAAAACCAGCTGGATGGCTTCTTAAAGACTTCATTCACCCCCGGCCAAGACTACAGTGCTCCACAAGGCTTCCTGTCATCCTTGACACGCCAGGGTCAAAGGTGAGGAAGTATTTTGAAACTGTGAGAAATGTTGGCTCCGTCCCTGGCTTCCCAGCTTTGTCCAGAGGCTCCGTGATCCATGTCCTCTGCAGCACATGGGAGTTTTCTCCTGCCCAAGAAGCCAAGCAGCTGGGAGGTTCTGCCCTGCTTAGTTAACAGCAGTAGTGATGACCACAGATGTTGGGCAACCTTTCTAAGCACTCATCTGCTGTTAATGCCTCGGATCCTCCCCACAGCCTCTCTTTACACTGATCAGTTCAGAACACCAAGGAAGGTCCAGGTCCCCCAAGGCCACACAGTGAGTGTGCTGGGCACTAGGACTTAACATCAGAGCAGCATCACAGAGCTGGTTGCCATCCCCATCCTGCCCCCGCCCCCCCACCCCCTCACCCCCCCCACCCCTGCTGTCCCTACTCCCTTTGCCCAGCACACTGCCTTAGAACCACTCACTGCATATCCTCCCTTCCCTTCCCTCCCTCCCTCCATCACCCACTCCCCATCTACGTATGTTGATTTGGCACTAATGACTCTCACGTGTTGCTACTTACTGGTTGGGCAACAGTCCAAAGAAGGCACTAGCCAAAAGGGAAGGAAGAGACGGAGACACACTGTTTTGGCTGGCTGAGAAGGGTGAGGCCTTCTGTAGCGTGGAGGGCCCCCAGATGGTTTCGCCGTTGCCTTCACCGCGGCTGCTTCTCTGCCCTCATCCCAACACTGGTCTTCCCTCCTTTCTCCTGCCACCCTGGCACTACCTGAGAAAGCCTCTTTCCTCTGAGTGACCCTTTCCCCCCAACTTCACCTTAGCCCCGAAGAAGACTGCATCCTTTCCAGAGCACAAACTTGATTGGTGGAGGAAAAGCGATTGGGTTTTCTGTGACAAATTACCTGGGCTGGAATGACATAAGACCTTGATTGCGCTGATTAGTAGAATTATAGCCAGACACACCCCATCATCCACAGCTTAGTTGTCCACACACTTCGTGACAGGTGAAACCTGCTCCTGGGATAGCCTCTGCTGCAGATTTGCAAACTGTGAGCTTTCTTGATCTTGTTTTCACCAGCATAAAATCAAATGTCAGCACACAAGCCACTGCAAGGAGACCGTGGGAGTGCCTACATAATGGAGTCTCTGTGTTCCCATCTGGGGCAGAAGAAAGGAGAGCAGCTTTGATCAATAAATAATGTACACAGTAGTTGGGGCTTTCCAAAACAGCCAGTGTGCACAGCCCTAAGACTGAGCTGTGCGAAGCTCACACACTCTGCAGGTTTCACTGCATCGGATCATTCCAAGCTCCTACAGGGTTGCTGCCCGCAAAAGCAGAGTTAAAGGCTAAAAATTAGAATGAAAGAAATAAAATATTTCCTTCAAAGTTTGAAGCCCAGACACTGTCTGTAGCGTCTATGTCAGATGCCTGCCCATAGTCCCTTCTTCCCTTTAGGACAGGCTCCGTCAGCCAGATGTTTTCTGGGACAAAAACAGCCCATAGTAACCATGAACCATGACAATAGTTAGCACTGCCCACAGACATCCATTGTGGGTTCTCTGCGGCTTATAAAGGACTGGCTTTCTGGCCCTTTGTTATGGGGATCCCCTCATGGCAAGGTCTGGGCTTGGAATGTCTGCAACATCTGTGCAGAACATGATGTACTGAGACGAGATCCTTATGTGTTTGTTCCTTCATCTAGTGACATGCTTTACCTGTTCTGGTCCCAGAATGAAGGCAAAGGAAAAAACCACAGAACCTATGACCCCAGAAAGCATGCAGGACAAGCAGGAGGCAAGTGAGTGAGCCTCTGTTGGGCTCCGCAGTATCAGGTATCCAGGCTTACTCTGGACATCCATGGTCCTATTCTAAAATCTTCAACCATGGGAACTCTTTTTGTTCCCAGAACAACCACTGTGGTCATGGTTGTTGACAGATCCAGATACCAAGGCAGAAAATAAAGAGTGACAGGAAATGGAGCATGAATATGTGACCATTAACTTTTTGTCACTGTGAAAAATTCTTGAGATAAGAAAAGGAGGAAAGACCAACTTTGGCTCAGTCTGGGTGGTTTCAGTCCATGGTTAGTTGGCCCCATCGTTTTTGGGCTTTCAGAGACGAGGCACAGCCTAGTGAGAGTATATGGCAGAGAGAACTACTTATGTCATGTCAGCTAGAAGACAAAAAGAGAAAGACACTGGAGTCCTTGTGTCTTGAAGGGCACCTCCCCCGTGGCCTCAAGGGATGAAGCTATCAGTTTGGCATGATCTAGAATACACCAGGAGATAAAATTCTTGATATGCCTGTGAGGGAGTTTCTAGACTGGGTTGAATAAGGTGGGAAGCCCCACCCTAAATTTGGGTTGCACCATTCCACGGCTTGGGGAGCTCAACACCAGAATTCATCTCTCTCTGCTTCCTGATTGAAAATTCAGTGTGACCAGCTGCCCCATGCTCATGTCCCCATGCCTTCCCTACCATGTGACCAGCTGCCCCATGCTCATGTTCCCATGCCTTCCCTATCATGTGACCAGCTGCCCCATGCTCTTGCTCCCATGCCTTCCCTACCATGTGACCAGCTGCCCCATGCTCTTGCTCCCATGCCTTCCCTATCATGTGACCAGCTGCCCCATGCTCATGTCCCCATGCCTTCCCTACCATGTGACCAGCTGCCCCATGCTCTTGCTCCCATGCCTTCCTTACCATGGTGGGCCCTACAGCCATGGAAATCAACTGGAACATCTCACTTCCTCCTACCAGGTCCCACCTCTTGAAGGATCTGTTATATTCAGTAGTGCCACTGGCTGGGGGCTGTGAGAAGCATGTACTGTTACTTCCTAATGAGAACACTGGAGACTCAGAGTGGCCAAAGGGAGGCGATTTTTGTTGTTGTTTTTCAATTTTGTTTTGCTTTTGTTTCTTTGGGCTTTGCAAAGCTTCAGCTCAGAAAGGCAGGCACACCGATTGACCCAGGAAGCAGTTTTTATGACCCAATGCAGGGCCCTTCTTCCCTTTCTTCGCTGACTGAGTTGTCGGGAGGGCACTGTCTTACACATCACCTGGGTCTGTTCTTTCCTTCTAGTCCTTGCGTTTGCCTGTTTCTTAACAATGACTTGTGTGGGCCCATTCTTGCATTTTGCATCCTGTTCAGTTTAAAGTTTATCAGGTGCATGACATTGCAGGCAAGCTAATTATTTTGCTCTGAATTTTTAGTTTGAGTTGGGTTGGGGGTGACCAGACTAGCATAGTGTGGGAGGTAGCTGGTGAGTCCAGTGTTTCTGTTCGTCTGTAATGCTGACTCACATCACCTTTGAAAATGGACCATTACTTTATTTATTATAGACCCTTTAAAAGGATCTTTGAGGGATATTCAAGACTCACACTATGGTCTTAAATACTGTTTTATATTCCTAATTGTGCATCGTGATGGAGAAGTTATTTCCCTGTACCTAGAAACTGACATGCATTGAGAAATGTGACCATATGTCCAATGGTAAACAGGAGACGGGTGAAGAACACTTATTTTTGAAGAGTTAAAACAGCACAAGAGTCCCATGGAGTTCTTAACTATGTCCTGGGCTTCCAATAGCTTCATGGGTTCAGAGCTTAGGCTAGTAGTTGCTAAGTATGGGGATCAGCACTTCCCTGTCATCCAAAAAAAAGTTGTCAGCAAGGGGGAGAACAGGTTCAAGTTCTACTCCAGAAGCCCAAGTGTCCAGATCATCACAAAAGACATGCACTGGACATGGTGCCACTCATCAGTGGACCTCTGTTTCCTGGGCTCAGAGAATGGAATTCTATTTTCAATCATATCTGATGACACAGTCCTCTGGTTTTGAAAATGCTGAATCCTTCCCATGCCGTGGGCTCAGCCTGCCTTGAGGATCAGCAGGACATTTACGTTTCTGCTCTCCACATCCTAGCTCATTGATTTGGGCAAGAGGTCTAACACCTCTGTTATTCTCCTTGTCCTTGAAAGGCTGAAGGTGGATCGGACCTGGAAAGAAGGCAAGTTTATTTTCCTTGTGTTTAAGATGAGTGATGGGCAGATTCTGGTGTGCTCCTGGTCAGGCTTGCCCAGCCCAGCCCTCTGTGAATGAAAAGAGAGCCATGGGTGCTAAGGAACCATAAGAATCCACAGACAGACCCAGGACAGCAGACAGCTGTCCTAGAAGAGGTCACATCTGGACACAGTTAGCAAATACAAGACAGCTTGCCCATGCAAATTCTGGCATGCTTCTTCCAGGGGTCTGACAGAGGTTAGAGAGCAGTATGTCTCCAGGTGTGTCTTCCCATCTCATAAGCTTTGGTGACAGCACTCCCGGCGGGTCTTTTCTCAGTCTCAATGGATTCTGATTCCTGTATTACTTACCTCAAGGACAGTCATCTTCAAAGGCATTCACTGGCCGAGGATATTTGAATTAATCATAAGGTTACACACTCTGGGCTCCCCCCTGTCGCCACCCCCCCCCCCCCCAGGCTTTAAAGCATAGCTCAACACTCGGGATGAAACCAAGATGTAAAAGCACACATGGCCTCCGTGAGAAAGAATATTTGCAGACAAAAACTGAGCTGGATTAAATTGGGATTTTCTATCTTCATCTCTCTACCAAGGGCTCTTTGGGGGATGAATGCAAACTCTAAGACTAAAAGCTGAGCTGGGCCTGGGCACAGATCTTCTTTATGTGTGCTTTGTTTCCATTCTGACCTAGGAGGCACAAGCAGGCTCCTTCAACGTTGGGTGTCCCAGATTTTGCGTCTTTTTATGACTTCTTCTCCTCAGAGGCTAAAGTATAGCATTGGCATCATGCTATAGGTGAGTGAGCTCAGAGCACTAGCTTCTGAGTTCAGCTGGAGCCAGGCAAAACCAAGGATGCTGCTGGGCATCTGGGGACAGTGGACTCCAGGAATGAGCCTCACATCTGGAACACCTGGACCCTTGAGCCTTACCACACTGTATTGCACCCATTGAGTAAGGCCAAGCCCTCACCTTTTGGCTCCAATGATGATGATATTTAAATCTGGTGGGTTGGATGCAGTTATCCAGTAGAGAATGGATCCAACCATTCCACAGACTGAGATCTGCAATTCTTTTCGGGGAAGGTTTTTCTGTTTCGTTTTGGTTTTTGTTGTTGTTCGACCACCCTACTGTGAGTTCCTTCAGCTGTCCTCCAAAATACACAACTCAACTCAGCACATAACTTTCTTCCCACAAAGTCTGGAGGGTCAAGAAGAGTCAGGAAGACCATAGCTAGTTCATCATAGGCTGGGTTCCAGCTCCTCGAGGCCAGGTATACCCGCTGTGCATGTTACTTAGAGGCTTGAGATCTCAGGTCCTCTCTAAAAATGAGAAGCACTGGGAGCTTCCTGGTAGTGTAGTTGTACGGGAGAAGTATAAAGTGGTGTGTGGTACCTAGCAGGCACTTCAACTGTTATTATGATTTCCTGGCGAGTTGGCCTATGTGCTCCTCCATTTGGTCGTTGGTGATCTTGTGCCTGTTGGTGTTTATGGTTGTTAGGAGGCAACCTACACAGGCTGCTTTTGATCCTGGGAGTTGTGATGGGGTGCAGGGTGGGAACCTGCAAGGGTTCAGGAGTTCTCTCCTGTGACAGAGACTTCCAAGAAAGGCTGGATTACAGGCCTCGTGGAGAGAAATGTACAACTCCTTCTAGCCACTGTTAGAATAGGCCACTGTTTCGAGAGTAAGTCACTGTTTCAAGATTTGGCATCTACCTTCCCCAGCAAAGATTAGATTTTTTTTTTTTTTTTTTTTTTGGTTTTTCGAGACAGGGTTTGTCTGTGTAGCTTTGCGCCTTTCCTGGGACTCACTTGGTAGCCCAGGCTGGCCTCGAACTCACAGAGATCCGCCTGGCTCTGCCTCCCGAGTGCTGGGATTAAAGGCGTGCGCCACCACCGCCCGGCAAAGATTAGATTTTTGTGATGATTCATCTTCATTGGCAGCTTGAGTAGGCTTAGAATCCCAGTGGAAACACTTAGAATCCCAGTGGAAACACACCTTTAGGTCACCTCTGAGGGTGTTAGCTGAGAAGGGAAGACCCACCATGAAAGACCGAAAACAAGCAGACTGGTTTGTGAGCAGCCAC